ATAAAAAAGAAAAAAAAAAAAAAAAAAGAAAAATCCCAAACCCATAATTAGGTGTTTCTTGTAGTGGGCTGATTCTGGGAAGAGAAATCTGCAATTCACTCTTCAAGATGTACTCTCCCTATTTTTGACACAGCTTTCCTAGCAAAGAGAAATCCCAAAGCGTGGCTCCAGTAGAGGGCTCTCTCTGATTTGTTTGATTCACCTATTCCCTGACACTGCTCCTGAAGCAATCCCCAAACAGGCAGAACAGAGAATCCTGAGGAATCCCTTTCACAAAGGAGGATTCTCTTTTGGGAGGAAATTCCCTTAAGCAAAGCTGCTTTTGCTTTCCTATGCTGTAGAATCTGGTTCTCCATGTACTTGTGCTGCCAGAATGCCTCTCGTTGCTCAGGGTGTTTCAAATATTTTGCTCATGCTTGAACCAGAGCCGTATTGTGGCTGGGTAAGGAGATGGATCCTGCTTTTGCTGAACCTGGGCAGAAAGGGGAGGTGAGGGTGGGATTTAGATCTCATTTCTTTGGAAGCCTTTACACTCCTGCTAGTTTTCTGGCACAGCTCTGCTGGCACCAGCTCATTGCCACTTTAAACTGGGTGGCAGATCTGGCTGTTTTTGAGGTCTCCGAGTTTTCAGAGGAAAGGCAGAGTATCCATATCTTGCTTGTGGTTTTTTGAAGGAAGGAGGCTGGGCTTTTTTCTGCAAATTTGGTGTAACTGGCATTTCTGTTTGAGGACAGCAGTAAAACATACAGCTCTTCTGCTCCCTGCATTTTATCCCAGAGGCTCAGGGTTAAAAAAAAGTAAGTGAAAAGAGATAAACTGTAGTGATGTGAAATTTAGTTAGTGCTCAGACTGGTGGCAGCACAAACTGAGAACCTCTGAAGGTGAAAATTACAGAGATGAATGAAGTAAATTGTTTTCTCTTATGTGGTCAGGCTGAAGGGAAGGCTGTCATCCAGTCCTCTGATAAATATAAAAGCAGCATCTTTCTCTGCCTCCCTGCTACTCCTTTCCTCCTTGGATTGTAAGCTGCAAATACCTTTCTCCTTCTGGAGCCACATTAAAGCTCTGATCTCTCAGTTATTCAAAATAAAACCAATTAATGTTGTTTTGATACAGAAGGTGATGCCTTTGATGAATTATTTAACTGTGCTCCAGATAAACTGGATGCTGTAAAAAAGGTAATTTACTTTTTTTAGTAGACATCAAAATCTTTTAGGCCAGACTTAAATACTGAAAAAGTTAGTGTTTTTTTTCCTTTCCCCCTTTCTTTTTTCTTTAGGCACTCTTGCAATTTGTTGACCAGCATGTTGGAAAATTAGGGTTAAATGTGAGAGACATCGAATCTCAGGTAGTGTGCTCCAATCTGCATGTTATCCATGATTTGTCAGCCATTTGTGTGTTTCCTGTCACCATTAGGAACTCTCCTTTTTTATTACAGTAATTTGAAATTTGGCAACATAATGATTTCCATGTTTAGGTTAAGACATTAAGCTTTGGTCTCTGAAGTTTCTGAAGCTAATAATTAATGCAAAAATACAGCCTTTGTATTGAATGCTGCCCTTATAATGCTACAGGGAGTAATTTTCAGTCTGCCCAACTTCTAAGGGTGCTTTCTTTGTCAGGATGGAAATAAAGGTGTCCTGAACATTAAAATGAAAGCCAAGTTGATTGCTGTATTTAGTGATAGTTGATTCTGCATTTACTTCATGGTATAAAAGCTTTATTTTCACCACATCTCAAAGTCTCATCCTCTGAATGGAGAGCTTCTTTAGAGTATGAAATTGCAAGAAGAGTTGGGCTGAGCACCCTGGGCTCTGGTGAACGGGGTGCTCTTCTGGATTTTTCCAGTGTGCAACTGTAAGAAAAGAAGGTTTTCAAGTATTTTTTCACACATAACTAGGCACAATTTTCTATTATTTATAGTTATGTATTTGTGCTCATCTGAAGTATTTTCATATTTGGAATAGTTTTTTTTTTTTAATAGCTGTCCTTTTACACAGTTGTATTTTCACAAGTATGAATTTGGGAGCCTTATCTAACTAAATATGAAGTTCACTGTGGAAGAGGTTGAGGGAACTGAGTCATTACACTGTCTGCTTGCCCGAGTAACATTTACATTCCTTTATTGCTAGAATGGCATTTACTGAAATAGTTTACTAAAGCCAAATAATTTTCAGGTAATTCTTATCTAGTTTTCAGATGGAGTTATCTTACTTCTTTTAATTGGACAACTAGAGGGTTACTTTCTGAATTTAAGGAATTTCTTCCTGACTCCGGCCAGCACCATGGAGATGGTATGTTGTTATAAAATTACTTAGAGCTTGAGCCATCAAACTGCCTCTTGTTCTCCCTCTTGCTTCCACTGCTGCAGTTGTGTGTGAAGTCCCATGCCCACAGTGTTTGCAGGAGGGGGTTTTGGGGCAGTGCCAACACGGGCACTTGGGGCTGTCAAAATATCTCAGAACAGGTCGGTGTCCTCTTCAAAATTATCATCTCATGGGAGGCAAACACCTGTTACTTGTGTTTGTTTGGCATGACCATGATTCTGCAGCCTTATGGTGAAATCCAGGGCTCTGTTTGGTGTGGAATGGGTGTGTTTTCTTCTACCAGTCTGTCCTGCAAACAGGATTTGAAGAGGATAACACCTCTTGCATAGCAGAACTTGGATCCCTGTGAGCTTCTTTATGCTGCCCTAAAAATATACCTTAATTCAAGACAGGGCTGGCACATTTTGAAGGCCCCTTCTGTTTTTGGGAAGCTCTTGAGAGTTTGCATCCTTTCCTCCCCCAAGGTTGGGGGCAGTAACATACTCAGCCAGACCTGCTTGGCACCTTTTTCCACCTCTACCAGGCAGATTTCATCTGTGCTTTAAAAGTAAAAGCTGTTACCAGCCAGAAGGAAGTGTGTGCTGGGCTGCCTCCTCCACAGGTCTGGAATGTTGTTATATTTTGAGATATTTGAAGTATTTTTAGATTGTCTCTGGTGTGGGTAGGCTTTTTTTTTTTTTTCATTTGGGTCACTGAATAGCTCTGAAAATCTTGAAACTGTAGCTATTTTTCCTGGTTTGTGCTCAAATCTCTGGAAGTGAAATATGTCAGATCTTTTTTTGCTTGAGAGCTGCCAGAGAAGAAAATCTCTCCTCTGGCATGGTTTGCATTACGGCTTCCCTGCACAGATGAAGCTTTCATCTTATTCCCAACCTTAGCAGAGTTAATGCCCCTGGGCAATTTTTATTTGTAATGAAAATTCTCAGAGGTCCTATATTAACAAATAAATATTCCCATGGAGCTTTTCAAAGTTTAAAAGCACAATTGTTTGACACCTAGGTTCAAATGTTGTCAAAATTTCATTTCTGCCAGTTGGTAACTGTTTAAAGCATTAGGAAAAAAAATGTGGTTTTTTAATCTAAGAACAGGAAAAACGTATTTTGAAGGGTTGAATCAGACATAATATAAGCATTTCCCTAGAGTTGTTTTTATTCCCTTTCTCTTCCACTGAGTTTTCAAAATTATTTGGTCTGTTCCCATTGAATTGGACAGAAATTTTTAACATTTCCATTAGCTTTATTTCAAGGAAGTCACTGGATAATTTCTTATTTAAAAATTCATCAGTAACCATTTTCTTTTTGGTTCAGCCCTATTGTAGCCTCACAGATGTCTTTCTGGAAATGAGATAGCCCTAAAATTCTGGTACAAATCAAAGCTCAGACTTCCTAGCTCTTACCCTGCCCATCACTGGCATCAGAGATGAATAGAATGGGGTTGGGTTATGCTTCAGTACAAATCTTAACATAAAATTTACTACTTTTAGAAAACGAAGTAATTTCATTTTAACAAAGTTACTCCCAAGGACTGGACTTGCTGTTGAACAGTTTTCCAAAGTGGTATTTCCCATTTGCTTCTCCTCTGATGCTCATTACAAAATGAAAAGCAGGATGACACTACAACTAAAAATATCAATTGACCATAGCTCAGCTGTCATTTGTACACAAAACATGTCTTTCAATTTCCCTGTGCTTTCTAACTTCCTGTCATTTTAGACATTAATTGGTGCAGTAAAGTATAAAGATGTAGCCTTTGCTGGGATTTAAAAGATCTCATTTGTTGTTGGAATGGTGACAACCATATGCACTGTTGGGATAAGTGTGGTGCATCCACCTTACAGTTCCTTCTAACCAAAACCATTCCCTGACTGAAATTCAGGAGGTGATTGATTTTGAGGTGCAAGAAGACAACACTGCATGTGGGCAGGTTTGTTGCAGGGTTTTTTGGGGTGTTCATTGCCAAAAAAAAAAGGGTGTTTACAAGTAACCGTAAAGAAGTGCAGCTCTGGGAGCTCATGAGTGTAGAAAGGTGTGTTTTTTCTGTCACAAAGAATACAAAATAGTTGGAGGCTGAAACTAGGAGGGATATCTGTACAATTAGGAGAGGAAAATTATGATGATGGAGGGCTTGTGTGCTTATCAAAACTCTACAGAACTCAGTACTTTTGCCAAAACAGGCCCAGAGCTGAAACACCCCAGATGTCCTGGCTGCTGTCCAGTTGTAAATTCTAGAAAACTGTCCAGGTCTTTTGAGTCAGAAAGCACAGCTGGACGAAGCACCTTATTTTTAAGGCTTCCCTTTGTTGGGTAATTATTGGTATTTCTGTCTGAAGATGCTTTTTGAAATGTGCATGTTGTCATTCCTTGAAAATCCCCAATGCATTACAGAGAGGGAAATGTGTCCTTTTTGCCTGTGCTGGTTTATTAAGGAAACATTTGATATATTCATTCCCATCAGCAAATTGTGTAGAACTGCATGGTCTGAAGCTCTCCTCTCTGCTAACTATCAGAGGAAGAAAAGAAACCTGAATCCAAACAGGCAGTCTCACCTACTTGTAAATCAGAGAAGCAGGTGAAACATAAATCTGTTGCTTCACTTCAGAGCCCTTGGCTTATGCAGGGGGGATTCCTGTGCTTGTTGTCACAACATAACAGAGAACAGCAGCCTCCCAAAGGATAAATTGCCCAGTAGCTCATGGAAGGCAAGAAGAGGCAATCTGAAGTTCATTCAGGTCTTGTTACTCCTTTAGAGAAAAGGAATTTCCTAATTACCAGCCAAGTAAATAACTACCCTTAAGCTGTTAGAAGAGGATATTACTTTTAAAAAACTTGTTACCACTGCTGATTATGTGTGCGATGCTGCTTTTATGTGGGGAAGGGAGAGAAAAAGCAGTGAGGAAAAATTAGAAAAAAACCCTCAGCCTTTATTCAGAGATGTGTGTTTAATTTCTGATGAGTGTTATTGAGCATATCATCACTACTATTAATGTGAATAGACATTTTAGAAGTACAGCAGAAACTTCTAGCTAACAAGCATACCTGACCTTTGCAATCCTGAATGAAATATTGAGAACTTTTGCCTTTATGTTTTTTCCAAGTGTGGTGAGCATACATGCATTGTTTAAAAATACCCAGAAATAGACTCCATGCATCCATTAGATCCAGTTAGGAATCTAGCCTGTTTTTCCCATTAACACAAGCCTTTCACATACAAGGTCTATTTTTAAATAAATGGATTCTTCTGCCCACCTCATGGGATATGTTTTGCTGAAGATGGATTTTACATCTAATTTTATATTATAATTGGTATAAATTCTGAAGAGCACTTCATCAAAACTAAGGAGAGGGAGTGCATACTTATGAATCAGTATCTTCAGCAACTAGAGAAATACTTTTTAAAGCCTTCTGTTGGTTAGAAAATATTGTCAGCTATATTAATATCTCTCTCTCTCCAACAGCTCCACAACATTAACCTGGCATTGGAGTTGCTAGCAGAGGGAGGTCTTCTGAATTTTCATGTGAAATCCGAAGGTGAGTCATGACATGCAAACTTATCTGGAATAGAATTGCTAACATCCCAGCTTAGCAAAAGTTTGGGTAATTGCAGGAAGCAGGTTCTGGAAATGACACTGACACATTTCATTATATGGCTGCCCTACAGCTCCTCATGTAGAATGAATGGTAGAGGTAATAAGATTTTTTTTTTTAAAAAATCATTATTTCTATGCTAAAAAAGTTGGATTGTTATAAGTTTAGTAACTTTACACTAAACTTAAACTGCTTAGTAATTCAGTATTTGTTAAAGATTTAAATGAGTGACAGCTCCTAGGGAAATTACAGCAGTTGAGCTGGAGGCAAAGCTATTTTCCTGTGTCAGAAAAACTTTCAGTGCATTAAAAGCAAGCTTGTTTCTGTGGGAAGACACCTTGAAGAATTTCTCTGGAAAATCCAAAACACTGATCACTCTATTCAAACTCAGAATATGGTGGGGCAGTCTCCTGAAAATGTAAGTCACAGTTTCTTAGTTGCTGTTATTCTTGGTTCAGACCTGGGAGTTGAATCTTGATCTTCATCCAAGTGAATGTTTCCATCACTGAATCAATGTATATGCATGCTCCTCTTTCTTTCTCCACCACAAAAACAAACAAATAAGCTCCATTTGGGTGAGTCCAGTTTTCCAATTAAAAGACTCCAAAGAAAAATTTGGTGCCAGCTCCTGCTGGGATGAGGGATATGGTTAATTAATGGGTGGTGCTGTGGCTGCAAAGTCTGACCTTTAGCAGGGCACACGATCCCAGCATTCCTCTACCAGCTTGTTGCTGAATAGGGAAGTCAAATCTTCATTAAAAATAAAAAGCATTATTCCAGTTCTAGCTCCCTGTTAGTTATTCATAAATGGGTGCATGTGTTTGGTACGAAACAGATGGCATCATGGAGAGGGAAAGAGAGGATTTAGGGCTTCCTTTTTTTTTTCCCTTTTATTCTCTTTTCCCACTACTGCTTGGGTGATGTCAGCAGTTTGCATGCTGGGCATTCATGAATTGTGAGCTTTTTGCTGTGCTGCACAGAGCTAGGAGCCTGGAGCTAAAGAGCTTTTATTTATGTTAACGTTAACAGAGTAATCAGTATGGGCTCAGGTCTCCATGCTAAGATCCACCTTTTGTGTGAAAAATCTGTGCTTTCCTTCCTCCCCTCTGGCTGTTCTGAACTGCCTCAAACACAGAGTTGATCAGTATAAGAAATACTGGTGTCAACATCTGCAAGTCTTTTAGCTTCACTGGGGAAATCCTCAGCTAGTGAGTGAATTTAATATGATTTAGGGCTCCTAGTTTGTTACAGCTACACTATTTAGACTCTTCAAGGATCTCATTTTATTAGTGTTTCTTTGTAAGTCTTTCTCCCAGTGATTTACAGCACCATGAGAAAAGTAAGTCCTCTGAATCCTATTACCCTCTTCCTCTGCAACTTTTAAATACAAAAGCAGTTTATATAGCCAAGAAAAAATAAACTGAAAACTAAAGAAAAAACCCAAAACAACAACAAAAGGCTCAAAAAAAAAACCCCAAACAAAGAAACAAAAACAACCCAAAAAACCACCAAAACCCAATGCATCAAATGCAAAACATGATGGAAATATTACAACAAAAAATAAAGAAATAAAGTGTCAGGTAATTCCAACATGATTCCTGATATAGAATAATCATAGATATAAAGCCCTATTAAATTGTGTACTCTGTTCTTTGGTAGTGAATTTCTTACTCTGCATTATTTGCCCTCATTTGCCTTCCAGCAACAGAGTGCAGCAGAAGTCCCTTTTCTTCAAGTTAATTTAATAAATTTTTAGCTTCTACCTCTGTAGTTTCTATTTTGCTTCCTGTCACAATTAGGTTGTCCAAGTTCACATTATAACTGGGGAAAAACTGGGGAAAGGTGGGAGATTGTCTTTGGCAGGTGCTGTCTCATCCTATTCCAGGGATTGCTAATACTTCCCATCTGGTTTTTTTTGTCTCTGGTTTGTGTATCCACAGATATTGTGAACGGAGATATGAAGGCGATAATGCGAGTTCTGTATTGCTTGTATGCCAAATACAGAACCAAAGAAGCATGAAGAACAAGGCCAAGAGCTTGAGCTGCCTTTTTTTGTTGGTTTTTTTTTTTTTTCCCCCTAGCGGGCCATGAGGTGATTTTTTGATTCCCAGCTCTGTTTGCCACTGTTTCTGGGCATGCACTGGTGTTTGACACCTGCTGTGTTAACATTGTATAGCAAATGTGTTGTTCATTCAAGGTTTCACAAACACAGCCTGAGCAACTGTAAATATGTGTCCGCAGCTGTTCTACTATGTAATTCTAGGGCTGTAGCTCTTGTTCCAGATCTTGCCTTCTGTTTTCTTTGAGCCCCCTCAATGCTGCAAAGAAATTAAATGTATGTTTATTCTGGGCTCTGCATTCTTTTCTCCTGAAAGTGACTTTGAAAGTTGTTGCATCCTCCCCATTTTCCTGCTTTGGGAAATCATTTGGGAAACTAGTGAGGAGAAAGACCCACCGGGGTGGGAAGGCTGAGACACAACTGAAGTTCAAAGCCTGCTTCAGAGAGGTGGCCAGTGCTGTCAGTCAAGAGGCTATGAATTGGGTGCCAAATGAATAGGTAGCAAAAATGAAATCTGAATTTACCAAGTGTTTGATAAATGATTCAGTGCTCATTTGCTCAAATATGGAAAAGGCACTCAGAACAATACATTGGTGTGAGACTGTGCAGGAACAGGGGGTTCTCCTGCACAGCTGTAGAAAGATGCTCTTATTTTCCTTGCTAAGCCAGTGCCAAACTGTGTCCAGCTCCAATTGCAGCCCTGACACAAACTCTAATTAGTGGGGATGCCAATCCCTGTCAAGCATGTTGTGAGAGGGAGTAAAACGTCTGCACTTTGTCTGCAGTAAGAGGTGGGCAGCTGCTGGCTGGGCTCTGCAGCTGGCGGAGGTAGAGCCACTACAGGTGGGAGCAGTGAAATCCTATTTCCCACCACCTCTGACAGCTGGATCATCTCAAACTCCTCAGGCACTCCTAGGTGAATTTGTTCAGCCTCCATCCTCAGCCTCCCAGCAGTTTCTTCTGTATGCATCAAGGTAGCCGTGAATTATTAACGGTCACCCTTGGTCATTCTTGGGTGATTTAAATCAGAACTCCTTTCAAAACCTTCATCTACTCTCTTGACCATAAACTTACATCATGTTGCATAAAACCATAGATATAACTAGGGGAAAAAAAAAAAAGCTTCAGGATTTTTTTTTGCTTCCATCTAAACTGATTAAATTTCCTGCCATTGGTAACTGTGACATTTGATCTCTGGTCTGATCCTCCATCTGTGTGTTAACAGGAAACCAGAGCTCACCGAGTGCAGGTGCTGACATTTACAGAGGAGAATTTGTTGTGTCTGCCTCTGGATCATGCAACCCAGGGAAGATCCTTAGATAGCAATGCTGATAAGTCTTTTGAAAATGGTAATACTGCACAGCTGCTGGGGGACAGTGTTAGCATTCAGGAACACATAATCATGGAATGATTATATGAAGGTGCTTTATTAAGAGCTCTGTGTGTCAGGGGTACACATACCCAAATCTGACCCAACTTGGTTTTGAGCTGAACATGTTTTTATACTCTATCATTATATAACTTTCATATTAATCATTAAACTTACATTGTTCTATTGTATGCATTGTTTTTACCCAAGCATGGATTTCTCGTGATTCCCCCAAACCCCTAACATAGCTTCTCATGATTCTTTAAACAATAATTATATCTAATCACATCTAACACTTATATCATTTATCATATACTGACTACACAGGTGCAGTTTCACATGATCTTAGCAAGCACAAGGCCTAACATTTCCCAGGGCCTACTTTTAACACTTTTCCTAGGGCTTGCCAAGCCTAACTTTCTTTCTAACTCCCCGAATTTTCTATGATTTTAAAATCTTTTACTATCAACAGATCTGTGCAAACTGCCCCGAGACAAATCCCTTCTGCACCAAGAATTAGCTTGTGACATTTTTACAGAGAAAAATACAATGTGTGGTGCCAATGACCTACCAAGATCACTCGATTCCCAAGCAAATGTTAGTTGTGTGTGCTGATCTGGACAATTTAAGTACATACTTTTTTTTTTTTCATTTGCAAGTTGCCATAGGCACCTCGCGTAATTCCTTAATGGGCTTCCAAGAATCAGCTGGGAGACCTGAGAAGTTCATTCATACTTTGCGGAAGTTTAGGTTGCAGTAACACTGCACATAGAACATGCATTCATTGTAGAATGAGCTGCAATTGAACAGATCACAGCCAGGATGTAGCTTGTGGAGAGCAGGGGTAATGGGGCAGGAGGGGCTGGGCAGTGATTTGGTAGCAGTGTGGCCTTTTCCTCCTGGGAAGCCATCCTGAATCTCTTGCCCTGTGCTGGTGATCAGAATTCAGTTCCAGTGTGTGACTCCAGGCATATGGCCTGGGCTAGGACAAAGCCACCAGTGCTGAGAGGAGATTAGCTGGTGCTGCCCTGGTTAGGTGGTTATTACTGCTCAAGGAAACTGCTGGATTTTTCTGTGTGCTCTCAGTTTTGTGTTCCACTCCTCTGGCATAAATAAATCCAGTGTCTGTACTTCCAACAGGGGAAGTCTAGATCTTGATATTTAATAAAAGAAAGGGTCATATTTCCTTTCCAACACCAGCTTGCCTAAAACTGTTATAAGCAAGTCATTCTTTTGAAAACATACAGGGAATAAAAGATGTTTAATGTGCTTGAATCAAAAACATGTTGAGAACAAAAATTAATGTTTTAATCTACTTTTTATGCTGAGAGCAAATTTATAATTGACGTGTCTGGACACTTTGATAGAGCCTGTGTTTGATTATTAAAACATGCTGTGGAATTTTACAAATCCATCATACAGACACCCACTCCATAAACTGGTGTAATATACAAGCACACTATTTACATTTGAGAGATAGCCACGTCTTGACACAGTTTTAATAACAAATATAAAGTGACAGAGCTAAAAAGAATATTCTAACACCTGGTTTAGTGGAAGGTGTCCCTTCCCACAGAAGGGGTGTGGGAACTGGATGATCTTTAATGTCCCTTCCAAAGCCCTACAGTAGCTTCTGTTGCTTTTCCTGCCCCACAGGAAGCTTTGGGTTATAGCAGTAGCTGAGAAGTGGGACAGATCTGAAGGGTTCCCAACTCCTGCTTGCTGTAATCTTTCCATCATCCACTCTTTCCAAAATACCAGACTCATCCATAAAAACACGTATTTCTGGAGGTGGAGTGACAAGGCTGTGTGGAGAGAAGTACAGGTGGAAGGGGTAGGGTTACCAGGGTGACTTTAACGGAATGCAGCTGCACAGAAGTCTTCATAAACAGGATCAAGCCATCGACTGAGATTGGTACTGCCTGTAAAGCCAGAGACAGGAATTTCAGAGCTGTCCCTGCTGTCAAGCCTCCTCCTTGGGAACTGGTCCTGTCAGGATTACACTGACATTTTTGTCACCCTCCCATCATGTGGCTGTATCCCTGGAGCCAGGCCCTTGCTGCTTTGCAATGGGGCAGAGGAACTCCAAATGGAAAGTGCTGGCAGCCTCCATCTGCTGATGGGTGGGAGTGCCAATTCTTAGCATTTGTCCTTTCCTTCTCATTTTTCCCCTTCCTTTTTTCCTTTCCAATGGTTTCTATTGTGTTGTTTCTTGCAGGGAGCCATCCTCACAGTAGCTGCTCTAAGTCTCCTTGGCAATTCGTCTTTCAAACCATGAAAGCAACTCATTCAAATTCTTCCTCTCCATGGGCACTCCATGAGCTGTGTTTGTGTCTGTATGAAGGGACCTTGCTATTCCTTCTCTTACAAGCTGCTAAAATTTCCCCAAAGAGTAAAAGCCATTGTCAGTTTTTCATGAGTGATTTTTTTTTTTTCTAGTAAATTAATATTTTGATAGACTAGATGAATGTGTTACTTTGGAGGAAAAAAATTAGTGTAGATGGGCCTTTCTACAGGACCTCTGTGGAGATGGTTTCCTCTGCCATTCAAAATCTTCTAAGAGGGTGAGACTGTCAATAGGATGTAAAGAGTGACATATGAAGAGATGAGTTTTGAGACAAGTGATAATGAAATCAAGACAGCAGTACTGCAGACTGGCATATCTTTGCTGTCCCATCTTCTCCATCAACCAACTCTACTATAAAGAACTTAAAAATGAGGAAAAAAGCCCCAAACACAATGAACCACCTCTGGTTTTTTTTGCATTTTGATTTATACAAAGTGCATTAGAGTACCTTTGGTATTTACTTCCCCACTTAGTTTTCTAAGCCTTTTCCTCTATGTCATTCCTTTACAAGAAGAGCCCCCAAAGTCATTCTGCTCTAGCCACTGGCTACAATTGAAGTTACTAAGGATGTTTCCATTGATGCCCTCTCTCACGCTGCATGTAACTGATTTCACACACCTCAGCAAGGAGCCAATAAAATAATACAGAATAGCAGCTAAATATTAGAGGACAATGGAGTAGCTTGGTCAAAAACTGATTAGTTTTATCTATAGAACTGTAACTGGATGCTTGGATGGGAGCTCCCCGAATCTGCTGTCATAAAATGCTGGGGAATTGCAGTCAAGGTGCTTCATGCTGCTCCCTGCACTGTATTCCAGATGTCATTGGGATTTACTTGCTTCAGAGAGCTGCAGCCTGCACCAAGCTCATCCTTGGGCTGCAGGGAGCACATACCCTCTGACACTGGGGTGCTTCAGCTTCCTTTGGGGAACAGAGCCCACCTATAGGGTTATGCCCATATTGGTAAATAGGAAGTTGAAATATATTATCTGAAATGGCAATGGTATAATGAAAATGTTCATTTTTTTGTTTGTTTGTTGGTAGTGGTGGTTGGGGTTTATATTTTTGTTGTTGTTGTTGTTGTTTTTGTTTTGTTTTGTTTTGTTTTCCTGGGAGTGATGAGGTCTAGTTTGTCCCTGGGGTTAGATGTCTTTCAAGACCACCTGTCACATAATCCATTTGCCAGCCCCAAGAGAACATAACAAATATTTTAAAGTCTGTAAACACAGCACTATCAGGCTTTCAAGGATCAAAAGCCAGCAAAAATAAATGCATAGTGTTGCAGTCTGCTTGTTTAATTTTGTTAAGTGTTCAGTTGGTACGTTCCTGTTGCTCCCCTATCATTATGCAATGGTTCTGACCCCAAATGTCAATATTGTTAACCCCTCCTCTTGTTCCTGAAACTTCCTTGCCAGTCACCTTCACCCTGCCCCTTCTTCCTATCCATCAATGTAAACCCCACCTTTCCTTCCAGTTCCTTCTATGCCCTCTATCCCTTACCTAGTACCTGATTCGTTACAAGGTTGTTGTCCCACCTCTGTTGTAGTTCCATTGGCCCACAGCATTGTGAATCCCTCCCTTGACTCCTCCCTGCGTAAGCCCTGATTGGTCCCTGGATTGTACCCACCCCTGCTTAAATCCCGACACGGAGAGGTGCTCGAGGCTCCTTCTCTTGTTCCTTCGTCCCAGCCCGAACCCTGTCACCATTCCCTTCTCCTCGTTAATAAACTTGTTCCTGGGAAGTACGAGAGACTGAGCCTCCTCCATCCTTTTGCTGCGACCTATGACGCCTGGGACTTGCAGAGCCCGAGTGTGAGCAGGGCTCTGAAGGTTCAGCAGTGGGGCATTTATTCCCCTGCTGTTCCCCACTCCTGACTGCTGCCAGCGCCGGAGTGGAGCAGAGCTAGCCCGGAGCTCCGGTTAGCTGTGAGGAGCAGCGTCAGCTGGCGCCCAACATGGGGCCTCTTCTGGACGTGGAGACCCCCGGAGGAGTCAATTTTGCGGATTATAAAGACTTTTGGGCGGTAGCTACCCCAGTTGCAGCAGGCCGGTTTTTGTCCGGTGGCACTCCCGGGGATCAAGGCGGCAACCCTCGACGCGCCGAGGATCACCTTGGGGTCGTGGACAGCTCCTGCAGCACAGCGTCCGGACCTGGTGTGGTGAGTTTCCCCAGTGGGGGGGGAAAAAGAGGGTGCTGAGTTTCCCCGGGGTGGGGAAAAGTTGCAGGTCCGGACCCTTATCTTTTGTTCTTTTGAGTTCTCGTTTGCTGCCAGGGGGTGGTAGGACTGCTGAGCCGGGGGTTAGTGAAGATGGGTGCGCCGTTGTCGGCTCAGCAGAGGGGGATTTATTTCCAAGTTGTGGGTATCCTTGAGGGGGGAGGGAAGAAGTTTTCTAAGGGATTGGTTAAGAGGATGGTTAGGTGGCTGTTCTTGCACTACCCCCAGGTGTCCCCTGAGAATGTGAGCTCTGTTGTTTTTTGGAATTCAGTTGGTAGCAAATTAACTCTGTTAGTGAATCAAGGGGACAAGACAGCTTCCAAATTAATTTCACTTTTTGTGTTGATCCGGTCCTCATTAATTGAAAAAGGGGGAGTGCAACTACAGCCAGGGCAGTTTTCCCCAGTTTCCCCATCCCCGTGTTCCTCTACCTCTGTCCCTAAGTTGGGGGAGACCTGCAGAGCACCCCATGTAACGCAGGGCTCCAGCAGTGGCTCTAGTCTCCCTGGCTCCCCATGTCTCCCTCAGAACCCTAGCCCTGGCAGCCCTGGCCAAGCTGCCAGAGCCCCTACCCATTCCCCCACTTCCCTGGTTGTCAATCCTAAGTTTAATACTTCACAGGTTGTTAATTCCCAGTTTAATAAAATTGAAAACCTCCAGTTGATGTCCCAGAACCCTTGTCCCCTGGTGTCCCCTTATTCTCATTGTTCTCCTGTGCCCCCCTATTCTTTTCCTGACCCTCAAAATGGCCCCCAGAGGGCACAAGATGGCGGGGACCACATGGTCGGGCCCCTCCCTTGTGCTTCTTCTTCCCATAATCCTTTTCTTCCCTCAGTGACCAACCCCTTCCTCCCTAACTCCTCCCCTTCTTCCTACCCTGACCCCTCCCACTTCCCCTTGGGAGATTCCTCCTCCTCCAGGGCGTGTCATGCCAACACCACACCCCCAAACCCCGCCTCTTCCTGCTGCTGCTCCTCCCATAAATCCTCCTACTCGGTCGGTCCTCCAGCCCCACCCCTTCCGGCTCCTGGTTCCCACGCCCCTCCTTCCGGTTCCCACGCCCCTCCTTCCAGTTCCCATGCTCAAAAAACCGGAAGTGATAAGCCGGGAAACCAGAACCCGGAACAGGTCGATATTCCCTTTGTCGCACCGGTGAGCTTTCATGGTAGGGGAGGGCGGTACCATGAATGGGAGCCCTTCTTCTTCCAAACAAAGAGGGAGTTGTGCAAGGCTCAGAAGGAGTTTGGGAGAAGGAGCGAGTATTTTAAAGGTTTATTAAAGGCTACCTTCTCCACAAACGAAATGGTCCCCTCTGACCTGAAAGAGTTATTTTCCTGCCTCCTTTCCTCAGCTGAATTCAAGCTGTGGAAACAGGTGTGGAAGAGGTCATTGGAGTCCATCCTTCCAGAGCTATTGCACAATGAAGACACCGCGGTTGATGCGGATGAAAGCCCTCTAACCCTAGATCACCTATGTGGCGAAGGGAATTGGGCCAAACCAGAAGAACAGGCCAGGGGTTTGCCCTGGTCTGTGCTGGTAAGGATTGCGGAGGCCGCCGAAAAAGCTTTTAATTTGCTACCCGAGGAAGAACCCCAAGTTAACTTTCTAAATGTTAAACAGCTCCCTAATGAGCGTTTTGTTAAGTTCGTAGACAGGCTACAGGCGCAGGTGGTGAGGCAAGTGGAAAAGACAGAGCTACAGGAGCAATTTGTGCTGGAAGCGGCGAAGGCAAATGCGAATGAAGCCTGCCGCCAAGTCATCTTCAGCCTGCCCATCCATCCACCGCCCACATTAGACATCCTCATTGAGGCATGCACCAAGAAAGTCCCGATGGTGGGGGTGTCTAGGAGCATGCCAATGCCTGCGCCGAAGAGAACACCAGTGGCGGCCGTGACCCAGCACCCAGCAGGCCATCGCATTCCACCACCACCTACGTGGCCATTCTAATGTTTCTGCTGCGGTCAGCTGGGACATCTGGCAAGGGAGTGTCCAGCCTCCAACCCCTGCCAGGGAAATATAGGGAGCAGCTTGGGAGGGAGGGTCAATAAAGATTTAAATAAAAAAAACTAGGAGCAAAGCGCGAACCTGCCCCACGCGAAGAAATAAATGGGACAGGTCTTGCAGGGGGAGGGGGAGTGCAACTTCCAAAGGAGTGGCCAATCAACCGGACACGACATTTGATCACTATCAAGGACATTTTCTTTTGGTCCCAGCACTGGACGGTAGTTGCTGTTGTGATAAATGAACTTATGAATAAAAATTCGTAGAGGTCTAAATAAATATATTTGTAGCTATAATAATATAAAATATAAAATACAGTGTGGCCAACAAGTCCTTCCCCAGATCTAGTCGCGAATTCCCATTTGAGAGATAACAATCCTAGCCGGCGCCCATCAACCGAAAAGAATGAGCAGGACACGGGCCATCAGGCTGACAAGGGAACGAGCTTGGACGAGATACTCAACACCGGACCTGAACACCCCGCCTTGAAGGCCACTGCTGGGGAAGCAATCAGGCTGACAAAGGGAAAAGTCCAGCCGAGATATCCATCAGCTCCAACCCGGATCCAACCACCCCATCCAGATGGCCCGAACCAAAATGAAATCAAGGAACACTCAGAACTTCTTTACATATGAGGAGACTCTGCCCGGACGTCTATTCTCCAATGCCAGGAAATCAATTCATCCAACAATCAAGGACCCTTGGTGAATGGTGCCTGCCTGGAATTTGGCCTCAGGACACAAAATCCCTATAAAAACCCAGGCCAGAGAACCCTCGAGCGTGGATTTGGGAACACCTATACCTTTGGGTATAGACCCCTGTCCACCCAGCGCTGCGCTGTTTATTTTATTGTGGTTTTTCCTTGTTGTTTATTTTTATTATAAAAATTGTTTTATAATAAACTGTTCGTTTATTTATCCTAAATTTGCCTTTGCATTTATAACACTGTGGACCCACTGGACGGGACAATGGTGGGCTCGGGACCAACAAGTAAGTACATTGCCATCGGGGACACCAAGCACACACCCCCAGAGATTGAGATTTCTCCGATCGCCTTCCCGGGTGGTCCGGAGAACCTCATTCTCTTGGCGCGCTGCACTCACCCACCATTCTTTTTAGCGAAGGGCCAAATCATCGCCCAGTTTATTCCTATTCCCGAAGGAGTCCCAGTGGACGACCACGCACCAGTAGGCCAGGTGTCTACTGGGCAGAGGTGGTGGGTGAGAATAAACCCATCATAGATTGCAGCATCAAGCAGGGTGCAGAATCCTTAAACATGAAGGGACTGCTTGACACGGGAGCGAATGTGACGATCATCCCTGAAAGGAGATGGCCATCACATTGGGAGTTGCAACCCGTGGCAGGCAAGATTCAGGGTATAGGGGGTACCCAATTGGCAAGAGTTTCAAAGAGCATGGTACAAATTGCGGGGCCAGATGGGCAATTGGCAAACTTACGCCCATTTGTTGCTGATTATCGGGTTCCCCTGTGGGGAAGAGATCTCATGTCCCAGTGGGGGGTTAAAATCGAGATCCTGAAAACCCCTCGGGATTTTTAGAGGCAGCCACTGTAGAGCGCCCTTTCCAGAAGTTAGATTGGACAATTGTCACAGCGGCCTAGATTCACCAGTGGCCACTAAGAAAAGATAAATTAAAGGCGCTCAACGAACTCGTGGAGGAGCAACTTGCTAAGGGAAATACAGTGGAAACCACAAGCCCTTGGAATTCCCCGGTCTTTGTTATCCGTACACCGGGAAAGGATAAGTGGCGGCTCCTTCACGACCTTCCTGAAATTAACAAGGTCATTGTGGATATGGGACCTCTTCAACCTGGGATGCCTACCCCAACCATGCTCCCACAAAATTGGAAATTGGCTGTTATCGACATTAAAGATTGCTTCTTTCAAATTCCCCTACATCCTGACGATGCCCCATGGTTTGCCTTCTCGGTGCCCACCCTTAACCGAGAAGCCCCAATGAGGAGATTCCACTGGCGAGTGCTGCCACAGAGAATGAAGAATTCGCCCAGCATTTGCCAGTGGTATGTCTCCTCATTGCTGTCTCCCGTTCGCGCCAAAGTGGGGGAGGTCATTATCCACCATTATATGAATGATGTCCTGGTGTGTGCCCCCCATGACAATCTACTGAAATGTGCGCTTGACCTGCTGGTTGAAGTTTTAACCTCCGCAGGATTTCAACTCCAGGAAGAGAAGGTTCAAAGGATGCCACCCTGGAAGTATCTGGGCCTGCAGATCGCTTAGAGGACCATTGTTCCTCAAAAATTGGCAATCAGCAGCCATCCAAAAAACTCTGGCAGACCTCCATTCCTTGTGTGGGACCTTAAACTGGGTCAGGCCTTGGCTGGGCCTCACTACTGAGGACCTAGCCCCCCTCTTCATACTATTGAATGGGGAGAAGGAGCCGAGTTCTCCTAGGTTTCTGACCCCAGAGGCACGGAAGGCCCTGGAAAAGGTGCAGGACGCCTTAGTAGAGAGGCAAGCACATAGATACGAACCTAGTCTGCCGTTCGAATTCAGCATGCTGGGTAAGTTGCCACACCTGTGTGGGCTGATCTATCAGTGGGACCAAGGCTCAAGGGACCCACTCTTGATTATAGAGTGGGTTTTCCTAAGCCATCAAAGGTCCAAAAGTACCACGAGGCCACAGGAGCTGATGGCGCAGCTCATCAGGAAAGCTCGGGCAAGGCTTCGGGAGATGGCTGGGTGTGATTTTGCGTGCATACGGGTGCCGGTCAGCCTGTCTCAGGACAAAGCGCCCCCAGATAAGCTGACCAAGGAAATGTTTAATCAATTGCTGCAGGAGAATGAGACTCTCCAAATTGCCTTGGACAGCTACAGTGGACAGGTTTCAGTCCACGCCCCTGCTCATAAATTTTTTAACTCAAAATTTAATGTGATACCAAAAGAAATTAGGAGCAGAAAACCACTCAAGGCTGTGACAGTTTTCACAGACGCATCTGGAGCATCCCACAAGTCAGTAATGACTTGGGTGGATCTTCAGACTCAGCAGTGGGAAACGGATGTTAAGTATGTGGAGGGATATCTGCAAGTTGCTGAGTTGGATGCTGTCGTCAGAGCCTTTGAGAGGTTCCCTGAACCATTCAATCTGGTGACTGATTCGGCCTATGTTGCAGGGGTAATAGCAAGAGCAGAAAATGCGGCTCTGAAAGAAGTCTCAAATCCTCAGCTGTTTGAGCTGCTTTCGAAGTTAATTTATGCCGTTTCTCACCGAAAGCAGCCTTTCTTTGTCATGCATGTGCGATCACACACAGAGCTCGCTGGCCCAGTAGCCGAGGGAAACGAAAGAGCAGATTCCCTCACTGCCCCTGTTAGAATGGCTCAGCTTCCTGATGTGTTCCAACAAGCCAAACTGAGCCATCAGATGTTCCATCAAAATGTGCCTGGATTGGTCCGCCAATTCCATCTGAGGCAAGATCAGGCCAGAGCCATTGTGGCCACATGCCCACAGTGTCAGTCAACAGCAATGTCATCCCTGGGGTCGGGAGTTAACTCTAGAGGTCTGGGGAGTTGCGAGGTGTGGCAAATGGATGTCACTCACATCCCAGAATTTGGCAGGCTCAAATATGTACACCTCTCTATTGACACCTTTTCCGGTGCAGTCTACGCCTCTGCCCACACAGGAGAGAAAGCTGAGCATGTCTGCAAACATCTCATGCAAGCTTTCTCTGTGTTGGGGGTTCCCAGAGAAATAAAAACTGACAATGGTCCAGCATATGTCTCCAGGAAACTGGAAGACTTCCTGCAGGAGTGGGGAGTGGAGCATAAAAGAGGCATCCCCCATTCCCCCACAGGCCAAGCTATCGTTGAGCGAGCCCATCAATCACTCAAAAAGGTCCTGATTCATCAAAAGGAGAGCATGAAGGGCTGCACGCCCCAAGACCGGCGGTGCAAAGCTCTGTGTACTCTGAATTTTTTAAACGGCTCTACTGACAGTCTAAACCCTCCAGTGGCCCGGCATTTCCAGTCCAACAGCAACTACAAGTTACAAGGTCATCCTCCAGTGCTGGTGCGGGACCCGGAGTCCCAGAAAATCTTGGGACCCTTTGAGCTGGTGACCTGGGGGCGAGGCTACGCTTGTGTTTCCTCGCCCCAGGGACTGAGGTGGATCCCACAGCGGTGGGGGAAGCCTTACGTCCCGAAACATCCTAACAGGCCACCAGACCACAAGGAAAATGATGTTGCATCCAAAGAAGCTGCCCCCTGACCCCAATAAGGAGGAGGAGGAAACCCCGAGTCCCCTTCTTTTGTGTTGACCTATCTTTCTAGCTGTGTTAACACCGATATATGTCTCTTTTATTTTAGAAGAAGCCATCCAAAAAGATGACAACCCCGAACATCCTAAGCCTGTTGTTCCTGGTGACCCAGACTGCGGCGTGGATCGTGCCTCAGCCTAAACAAAATGTTTGAGTAACACTCGTGAAGACCCTGCACCGTGATGATCTGTGCTTGTCCACCGGAGCATCGGGAAGTCTGATGGCTACCTGCCTGGTGGGGATCCCTTTAAAGCCCGCAGAATTCCCCGAAGCCCTAACCGCCTTAGTTGAAAATGCTAATCAGGGGAAACCAGCCCATCGCGTTGCCCGATCCCTCCCAGTTTACAAAGTGAAAAAGCCTGTTAAGAACCCTCTCCTCCTCTGGAGGGATTGGTAAGAAACACTGGAAAGGGCAACTGATGAGCCGCAGGAGTTTGATTTGCTAGATTCTTCTCCTGCTTCTTTTTGTGTTCATTTTAATTACCGTCCCTCTGATCCTACCCTGTACTCCCAAGTTATACAAGTAAATAAGCAGTTTCAAGCTGCTCAATGGTGCAAAAATATTGCACATGTTAAAATGCCCTCTACCCTTGATCCTTCCCCTCGGAAGTTAGAAAAAGGCCTATTTTTGATTTGCGGAGATCGAGCGTGGGCAGGCATCCCCTCTCGCCTTCTCGGAGGGCCGTGCACTTTGGGCCAGTTGTCCCTGTTTTCTCCCAATGCGACTCAAATTGATAATTGGGCTACAAAAAATGATTCGGTTATCAAGAAGCGCAGCCTGGATGATTTAGACCCAGACTGCGACTCCGAAATTTTCCATTGGAGTAAGCTAAAACGAGCAGCAGTGTCATTGTTTTTGCCCTGGGTGGCCACTGCCAAGGCTCTAGGAGAATTAGGTAGATTTGAGTGTTGGGTTGTGAAACAGGCCAATTTGACATCAACTGTGCTAAGCGACCTCCTCGAAGATGAGGAAATAACCAGGCGGGCCACACTGCAAAATCGTGCTGCCATCGATTTCTTGTTGCTCCTGCACAATCACGAGTGCAGGGAATTTGAAGGGCTGTGTTGCATGAACCTGACCACCAAGAGCCCCAGCGTTCACAAGACCATCGCTGAGATGAAAAGCATGATCCATCAGATAAAACAAGAATCAGAAGACTGGGTCACCAATCTTTTCTCTAGTTGGGGATTGTCAGGATGGCTTTCTTCAATTATCAAAACTATTTTATGGGTTGTTTTTGTTATTTTCATGATACTGTTTACGTTTGCTGTGTTAAGAAGATGTTTAGTTCAGTCAGTTCTCCGCCTTTTATCCCCCCCACCACAAGTTAATCATATTAATTTAGACCCTCTTTCCTCCTCCTCACCTTCTCCCTAACCCACCTGTGACAGGTGGTTTATTGTGCCCTCTGCTCCCCCTGACCCTGCAACCTCCTCCTTTTGAAAAAGAAAGGGGGAGATGTTGCAGTCTGCTTGTTTAATTTTGTTAAGTGTTCAGTTGGTACGTTCCTGTTGCTCCCCTATCATTATGTAATGGTTCTGACCCCAAATGTCAATATTGTTAACCCCTCCTCTTGTTCCTGAAACTTCCTTGCCAGTCACCTTCACCCTGCCCCTTCTTCCTATCCATCAATGTAAACCCCACCTTTCCTTCCAGTTCCTTCTATGCCCTCTATCCCTTACCTAGTACCTGATTCGTTACAAGGTTGTTGTCCCACCTCTGTTGTAGTTCCATTGGCCCACAGCATTGTGAATCCCTCCCTTGACTCCTCCCTGCGTAAGCCCTGATTGGTCCCTGGATTGTACCCACCCCTGCTTAAATCCCGACACGGAGAGGTGCTCGAGGCTCCTTCTCTTGTTCCTTTGTCCCAGCCCGAACCCTGTCACCATTCCCTTCTCCTCGTTAATAAACTTGTTCCTGGGAAGTACGAGAGACTGAGCCTCCTCCATCCTTTTGCTGCGACCTATGACGCCTGGGACTTGCAGAGCCCGAGTGTGAGCAGGGCTCTGAAGGTTCAGCACATGGGGCATTTATTCCCCTGCTGTTCCCCACTCCTGACTGCTGCCAGCGCCGGAGTGGAGCAGAGCTAGCCCGGAGCTCCGGTTAGCTGTGAGGAGCAGCGTCAGCACAGTGTTAAAAAGCCACAAGTACCAAAGTAGTTCTTGTTGTGAATGTTTTTAATAGGAATACTATTGCAGGCATATAATCTGACCTTAAACACAACTGAAGAACACAATACTGTTATAAAATAGGAAAAAGTCTGGAGAGTTTGGGTCATATAAAATTATACTAGTGTCATAGTAAGATAAAGATTCCTAGTGAAGTCAAATATGTATTTTGTTATCTATTCTGCAGACACATCAACTAAAATTTTGGAAGAAATGAATAAACTTCAACTTACAGCCTCATTCTAGCATCCAGTTTTTCTGTGTGCTTCCCCCTACATATTTCCCCTCAATAATTTGGCATTCTGACTCCTTGTCCATCCCAATTTTCCTCCCTTTTGTGCCCCCCTTGTGCTGCAGACACAGGTGGTCCAACAGCTTCTTCCCCTCTCCATACTCAGAGCTGCCAGGGTGTCACTGGGAAGGTATCTGGTAGAGAAGTTGTATGTGAAATGCAGAAAAGCTGTGTAAAATCTTTGGAAACACCAGCTGGCTGCTGTGTATAAGAATTTAAATGTTTCTCAGTGGTGCAAGAAGAATTTCTTTATCCTTCATCCAGCATTAAAAAAATATCAAAGATAGCAGATAACATTTTGACTGAGCCAGTGTGTTAGGGATGCAGAAGTACAGCCAGATCCAGTAATGAGCTAATTTTCCTTCCCCCTTTTACCTTTTGATGCAAGGCAGCTGGGATATGTGTGCAGTCTTCCTGGCTGTGTTGCCTTTTTGGCAGGAGAATGTTGAATAGGGAGGGTTTGAAATTTTTGGGGTGTTTGGTCAGCCTCCTCTGGTGCAGCTGTA